CAAACCTGTAGTGCTTGTGGATTTGTATTGAAAATTATGAGACGGATGAAATTTGTTCATTGAAAATCTCAAATAAATTAATTTGTCGTAAATAAAGTAGAGTATACTACTCGCAATAATGGCTATTATTCCCTCGGAATGTTACTCCCTCGCCGCTAACGCGGCTCAGTTCGTAATAATCCTCGGGAATAATAGCTATCATTATTGACTCGTGGTATAATCTACTATTATGATGCTGTCTCTAAGTAACAAAACTAACCAAAACTAACCCAAATTGGAGCTGAGCAAAAGGTTAAGGTAAGGACAGCCTTAGGGTTAGTTTGGGATAGTTTGTTAGAGACAGCATCAAACTAGGCAAATAGCAAAATCTTATTAATCTAAGTTTTTTGCTACTTAAACTAATACATATTATCAAGTAGCTTGATGGTGAGGAGCCAGGAAAACTCAAAAAGATATTCGAGACTGTAGGCGCGAGTCGCGAGTATCGAGCATACGGTAGTCCGAGTGATTTTCGTAATACCGTGCGCTTGATACGTGCCGAGGTCGGGTTGCTGGACGCTCGATACAAAAATGCGTGCCGGGCAGTCTATCAAATTGTTGAGGAGTTTTTAGAGAAACACTATCAGGGAGTTTCTCCTACGAGTTTCTAAACTTTTCATTCCACAAAGTGCAAATCTAGTGTTCAATTGTCTAAGTATATGGAAAGTTTAACTTGAACAGTGAATATTTTGCAAATTTACTTTGGACCCTTTCAATGCGGTTGACATGGATATTGTAGCTTGGGCTCCAAACAATGCTGCAATATTCTAGCAAGGATCTGACCAGGCAGTTGTACAGGCATTTTATCGCTTTCACGTCATCAATGTCTTTTGGTGTTCCACTTTATGAAGCCTAATAGTCGGAATGCTTTGGTGGTAACAAAGTCGATGTGATTATTGAAAGTCAGTGTTTTATCAAAGATTACACCTAGATCCTTTATTGTGTTGACGGTTTCTGGCTCTGTGTTATTTATTCTGTAAACCGTGGTAACAGGATTTTGGATTCGGTAAAATGACATATGTTTACACTTCCCAGCATTAAGATGAAGGTGGTTTATTTCACACCATCCTGCAAATTGATTGAGTTCAGTTTGGAATGTCTGTGTTGTTTGGGTGCGTACCGTCAATACAAAATATTTTCAAGTCGTCAGCGTACAGAAGGCAATGAGCATGTTTAAAGTGACCCACTGCGTCATTGATGAACAGTAGAAATAGGACCAGACCAATGTGTGAGCCCTGAACGACCCCTGATGTGATTTCGATGCTATCAGACTATGCTCCACAGACTCTGATCCTTTGTCGCCTATATCCTGTAAGTAGGAAGCAGTCCATTGGAAAATTCGATTACTGAAACCAATATCTTGCAGTTTCTTCAGTAGGATGGAGTGAGACACACTGTCAAAAGCTTTGGCTAAGTCTGTGTAGATGACGTCCACTTGTTTTCCAGCTTCCGTTGCGGAGATTAGGAATTGTTGGAAGCAAGCTAAATTTGTAGCTGTAGAACGGTTCTTGCAAAATCCATGTTGATGGATTGATATGTAATTTTTGTAGGTTTGGCTGATGTCGTCTGTCAGGATGGATTCCATTATTTTAGGTAGGAGTCATAGAACAGAGATCCCTCGGTAGTTCCTAACATCCCTTTTGTCACCCGATTTGTGAATTGGGGTTAGAGTAGACATTTTCCATCGGTCCGGCACAAGGCCTGAGTTGAATGACATTTGAATAATTTGACATATCTTGCAGAGAGGCCCGAGAAATTTAGAGGAAGGCCGTCAGGGCCGGCACACTTGGATGCATCCAGTTCGCTTATTTTTGCATTGATTGCTTGGGCGGTAAAAGTGTGGTCTGCTAAGTGCCCTCCAAACGGCACGGAGTGTTGCTCGTTAGCCGTTACTGATGAGCTATGATCTGAGTAGCAGCTTTTAAAGTGTTCGGCAAAAAAATTTGCTATTTGAGTAGGATTGGTGGAAGAAGATCCATTAACGAGCATTTCAGAAGGTAGACTGACCGTAGTTTCTATTAAGTGATTTAACATAAAGCCAGAAGTGTTTAGGTAATATTGCCAGGAATCATGTGCTCTATTTTTGTAATATGCAGAAGGTAAGACATTTCTGTATGGTATTTAACCTCCCTCCACGCTTCAGAGTAGGATTGATAATCTGGAGTTGACCGGGATTTCCGGTATTTCTTATAAAGGCGGTTTTTTAATTTTATGAGGTTCCTGAGGTGCGAGTTGAAACATTTGGGATATTTGTCTAATCTCATGCGCTTCTTGAGTACGGTACAAATAGATCGATGCCTTGAAAGATAGCATCATAGGATTTATTGAGTTTTACATTGATGCTGTCTCCTGTTAGGTTCAAGAACTCCCAGTTGTAGTCATTGTAAAACGCATTCAGTGATTGGAAATCGGCTCGTCCAAACTGAAAGACTGACAATTTTTCATCAGATTTTAGCGTGGGAGTAAATTGGATTTTGAATGTAAGTTCCAGTGGAGGGTGTATATCTACAACATTTCATTTGTGAGCGGAAAGTCACTTTTAGACACATTAGCATTGTCCAGTAAGTCAGCAAATATCAGGTCAAGTTGCCTGTTATGAGAGTTCCTTACACTGTTAAGCTGGTCGTGTTCTAAGAGGCTCATTCGATCGACAAGAGCCGTTTCGCTATCACTGTGGGTCATTTAAGACGTGGCAGGTTGAAGTCTCCAAAAATTATGAAGGAAGCACTGGCGTATCTCTGTTTAAGTGATTCACAAGTATCACAAAAGGACTTGTAATGTTCTGATGCCGAGTTCGGAGTAATATAGACGGCCCCTATAATTAAGTCCTTGGTTTGACGCTTGCAGTGTACCCAAAGCTGTTCAAATGACGTTGTTTGCGCTATCGGAGTTACTGAACTTTGTATTGTAGTATAACATACCCGGATTCGTTCAGTAAGACTGAATGATGAGGATTTTTATTACCTTTAAACAACAAATCTTCTGAAAAACGAAATGAAAAACCAATAGGACCTACGTTGTGGAAACTTACTCAATTTTACTTACTGGACATGCGCCCGACATTGCAAATATTTGGGAAATTTAAAGAAAGTTGTGATATATAAAAGAAACGAAAAATTTGTGAAACGTCTACTTTTTTATTAAAGTAAATCGTACCGTTCTCATCCTGGAACTAACGAGTGGAAAGAGCACGGCAGAGAAACCCTCGATCTAACATTCCTCAAAAATCGAAACATACTGTGTAATTTTAATAATAATTGTAAGTCAATAATCGATATTTTAAGTCAATAAAAGTTTAAATTAGGTACCATCCTTTGTCTTTGTGCTAAAATTTTGATTGCACACACAACATTCAATCAACACTACCTATATTCAATACTGAAGAGTTTTTTTTGTTGGTTAGCCAGTTTCCCAGCAGGTACTGAGGTCCCATACGGGAAGCTACTCAGTTATAGTTGTTTTTGAGCCAATATCTCTAGATTGATTATTTCAATTTGTTAGGATATTCTCTCGTCAGGGTAGGAAAATGTTAGTAAATTCAACAAGGCCCTAAAACACGCTCTAAATCCAAAAATCTAAATTCTAGCACAAAGAGACAGCACATAATTTTTCTAGTTTTTAATTTACTCTTTATCGGTGTTGTTTACAGCATGAAACGATTTTTGTTAAATACATGAACAGTGCACATGTTATTAAAAAAAAAAATGTTAACAAACAAAAAAACATAAAAAATGAAAAAAATTATACTAGTATAAAAAAATTGAACTCACAAAATAACCATTATTCAACTGACCTGTGATTGCTCCTTGACACACATACTAATAACAAATTGGATTGAACAATCAATTTAATGCAAAATAAAAATAAAAATTGAACAATGAATAATTACAGACACGCGTCTAAGGGACCAGTCCAGCTTGGTCTCTAGTCTAATGCCTAATCGCTTCATCTCTACCTCCCGTTCGGTACCTACTCTTTCAGTACGCTTTCTCGTTGAAGCGCGTCTCGTTCCTATAAACTTGTACGGCGCATACATGGTTGCAACATTTACTTTTATTCAGTAAACGTTTTTTTTTTTTTTAAGTTAAAATTCAAAGAAATAATATTTTAAATAAGTGGTTTCCCTCAGTATATGCTTTTGGGCCTCGTGCTGAGAATCCCCTGTTTGGCCCCCGAGCGGAGGCGAATCTAGTATTTTGACGAAAGGATCGATTTGAAGCCTTTGTAGTCTTCTGACTTTGCATTGATTTCCTCCAGAGTGTATTCTTGATCATTTGCAAAAGTATTTTGTAGGTATAGCAGCAAGTTTTCCTTGGTGACATTGTTGGAGAGCTTGCGAACAAATATGGAAGCTTTGGGAGAGATTTTAGCAGCTGATATTTCGAGATTTTCTGGCGTCCTAGTTCGAGTGATCGCTGGACTCAGCCTTAGGGGACTCCACTAGAAACTTCACAGGAATAATTTGACTTCTTGGACCCTATCTTCACACAGAACTGTCGATCCTGCAGAATATCTTGGATTAGGTTGAATAGAAGTTCTCTTTTACTATATAGGGATGGAGTTTATGAAGAAGCCGCCCAAATGGTACTTACCTTGTCAAAAGCCGTTTCAAAATCCTGGTAAAATCAACAAACTTTTGCAGCAGGTTCGTGAAAGTGGACCTCCCAGGAAGGAACCCGTGTTGGGAAGGTGAAATGATTCCATTTCCGAGCAAAAATGAAGTCATCTCAGATACCACGAGTTCCTCCATGCATTTGCAAAGAGTGCTTCTGACCTAATAGGCCTCTAGTTTTCAGGTAGGTAGGTAGGTGTTTGTTGCTTTTCTTGTAAATAGGATTACAAGTGCATTGTTCTATTCCCTTAGTAGTTTGCTCTGCCTAAGAACATTGTTCATCATGGATGAAAGGTTATGTGACAAAACTGCAGCACACTTGTTCAGGAAAATGGCAGGGATATCATCTTCTTCTGCACTAGAATCTGGCTTCACTGATTTGAGTGCAGTCTCCAATTTCTCAGGTGTAAAAAGTACAGAATGTAACAGAATCCAAAGTGGGCATATGACTTAAACCTTCCCTTGTGAAAACACTCTGAAACTGTTTGGCAAACAAATTGGCAACCTATTCCTCATCATAAAGGGTGCAGTCAGGGGTCCCTAAGTGAGAAATGTGTAAGTCTTGAAACAAGGGATCTGTTTATGTAGGAATAAAACAGACGAGGCTAGCAATTCTTATTCATATTTCCTTCTATCGACTGTTTTTCAGGTAATTCAAGTTGTTATTGAATAGTTGGAATCATATTCCACAGTTTACTGTAAAAATATAGCAATTAGGTACCTACCTACCTTTAGAGTTGCTTCATTTCCAAACCAGCAATACAAGAATAATTGAAAAAACATTGCAGCCATATAAACGCATTCGACAATAAATTGTTTACTTAAAGGTGGTGCCTAAAACAGCAAATATTAATCTAAAACTTAAAAAAACTTGCAAACTTACAATAGAAACCAAATACAAACAGGTACACAAAATAAATAGAGTAGCAGTAACCTGACAAAGGGTCACGTAACGATAAACGTTTTCTAATTTATCACAAACCCTAAAAAAACAAAACGCAACTTTCTTAATTTTATACTTGTTGCATTTCTTACCCGAAAGTAGTTTGCAAATGCTTTATTACTTTTCTCATTTCCATTCTCATTGCATCCATATCGGCTTTATTCTCGTAAATAGTTTCGTAAATATTTATAGGTTTGCCAACAGATCTTTCGCGTAATGTTAGAAAAGCTCCTTGTATAAGCGTCACATTTCCAGCTACGCAATTCATTATGTTCATAAATAGTGTGTCCATGCCCACGATACTGTAGGCATATGAAAACATGGGACCTGGAAATTGTTTAGAAAAAGACAGCCAAATTCAAACCAGAAAACGTGAAAACTTTGTTTCAAAGTAAAATCATGAAAGTGGACAGAAAAAGCAAAGTTTATAAAAAACGCTGGTGAAGGTTTTACAACCGTATAGGTATGACTTAAAGAATTTTGAATTGTACAGTAGGGCGATATTGAGGGGTATAAGAAATAAAACAATTATGTTCAGGAAATGTAATTTTTTTGATTAGTGCATGTGCTTTCATTAGAAAGCTTGAATGTTCGTACCTGCTTGATAAGCAAGAGCTAACAAATACATTGGACCAGTGTCATAAGAAAATGGCATCCAGCTGTAATAAGGCAAAGCACTTGGTAAGGAAACTGTAGAGTTTCCTTGGTGTCCCTTGGTTTTCATATAGTGTGCTGCAGTAATAATTGGCGGCATGTACGAGGATATCAATGTGGCATGAGCCAACGATAGAAATAGTAATGAGTATTTCTGGCCTTCTCTTTTGTACAATCGGGAGATTCTACCAGGTTGAAAATACTAGAAACATGAACATGAATTTTTATAAAAACTGTATTTACATCCACAGCTGTTTCACTCTCACAACAGGGCCAAAATTAGAGCTGCAAAAAGATATAGGTTTCTCAACTAGTCAAAGATCCTTACCATGTGACTTTCATAATGTAATTTCGTATCTTCCAAAGTATCCATAATTTCTATTAAATTATGTCCATAAACGTACCAAAAAATCACCTTCAGAGCGCCCATAAAATGCGTCAAGAAAAAGTTAACATTCTTAATCAGCTCGTATTCGTTTTTGTAAGTGTAAAAAAGCGAAACGAATTCCGTAAATGTGAACCAAATATTAACAAACAGAAAAACTGTTATTGCGTAAATAGTATAGCAGAATTGTAGCTGTTTGCTTTTCGATTGAGGTCTCCATAATCCAGCACATCTGAGCATCCAACGGTTTACTACGAAAAAATCAGTAGCGTAAGATTCCATGTTAGACTCAAAAATGTGAAAACCCAATAAAGGATTTGCTTTTAATATGCAAAAATGATACTGAATTATTAATGTTGACTGAGATTCAAAAAGAGCAGAGTAAATTTTTAGGTATCAAAAATTCACTTTGATAATTTATTTAAGACATATAAACACCTTTTGCTTGTCGCACGAATCGGCGAGGGCCTTTAAAAAGGGAATATGTTATCAAAAGTGGTTTTCTTCACATTAAAATTCGATTTTTTTTTTGAGTAGCACTTATTAAATTGTTCAAGAAATACAATCTCGCTAATAAAAGAGAAGGAAATTTAATCATTTTTCAATTTCAAACATTTCGGCTTCAAATCTCATGATGCAATAATTCGTGGTACCTATAAGGAGTTAAGGCAGTTCATTTCAACATGGAAAAATTTGAAATTTCAATATTTTCCATATTCTCCAATAATTATTGTATCATAGACTAGGAAATTTTCTGTTCGAAATTTCAGACTATCCCAACACTACCCTTAAAGTTGGGGCTTAATATAAAAGTGTAGAAAAACGAAAAATTAGCATTTCATCCCTCTCTTAGGTGATTTATGGGGGTAGAATTTTCACAATGTGATAATTTGTCTTCGATGAGATTACAAACTCTAATTGTGTCAAATTTCATGTTTCTAGCTCATGTAGATGAACCTTCTGGACACACAGACATGTTTTGCCTTTTATATATTTAGGTATGTATAAATAAGAATTTCAGTGAAGCATAGAGGAACACAAAGCCTGGAAATTTCAGCTCATTGGGACTTATAGTTCCAGAGATCGCTAAGGGATAATAAGGGAATTTTTAAATTTTTCAATTTTTCTGGAGAAATTAAAAAATAAATTCTAAAGATAAAAAGAAACGCCAATAAGCCTTTGACCTCAGATAATACATTTTTGCAAGAGTAATCTTGGTGTGTTATTAGAACTGTGGATAATATAAAAATCCTCATCGACCTTCAAGCAATTCGCTTAAATCTAAATAAGGCTGTTATGCTAATCTACATAGTAAAACATAATTTTGCATATAAGTGTCCTATAAATACATATAATTTTTCCAGGTAAAAAGATTCTTTTGAAATTTGCTTTTATCATTATTAAAAAAATGAAAAAGAAACAACTCAAACCAACGATATTTTTCGTTTTATTTATTATTTTGGTGGTGAGTATTCTAGTTTTGTGCTTTTTATTATTTACCTACTCACACGTGAAAAGGGTCTAATATGAATATTTTCAAACACCATGCACGGTTATACAAAATCACTTCAAATATACTCCTGGACAAAATTATCGCAACACTGCTTATGGTGATGCTTATGTGCAGTGGTGCGATAATTTTGTCCAGGAGTATCTTATATTATTTACTGTTTATTTAAACTATTAACTCGTTTTTCCTTGTAGATCATTCTTCTTGCATGCGCCTTATTGGTAAGTTATTCAAACCATCCCAATTTTCAACATTTTCAACCAAAATCCAATTCAGTATACTAGAAACTCTACAGACAATAATCTCTTGGTATCCTTGCCTAATGGACAAGTTCGAGGAGCAATTTATGTGACTAAAACTGGAAAAACCTATTATGGATTTCGAGGAATACCATATGCTAAACCACCAGTTGGTGATTTAAGATATGAGGTATAAAGGTTTGATAAAAAATAAAAATTATTTTCAATTAAATTGTAGTTGCCACAATCAGTCGAACCATGGAATGGAATTTTGAACGCTTCAATCGACGGAAAAGCTTGCATATCTCTGGAATATTCAGCCAGTGCTCAAAGCGAAGATTGTTTGTTTATAAATATTTATGTTCCAAGTATCGGGAAATTATTGGAAAACAAACATCTTCCAGTAATGTTTTGGATTCACGGTGGAGGTCTTACAACAAACAGTTCCGATAAGCTTTGGAACGGTCCAGATTTTCTTGTAGAAAAAAATGTCATAATGGTTTCAATTAACTACAGACTAGGTCCTTTATCATTTTTATCCACGGGCGATAGCATTTTGCCTGGAAATTTAGGATTAAAAGATCAAGCTTTTGCCATGGTATGGGTACGTGATAATATTGAACACTTCGGAGGAGATCCAGATAAAGTTACTATTTTTGGACATAGTGCCGGTGCAATTTCGGTTGGTGCACATTTGTTGAGCAAAAGATCAGCAGGTGCCACAAAATATGATTATATGATAGCATCAAACATATTGCATTTTAGGTTTATTTAGAGCAGCAATTCTTCAAAGTGGCTCAGTCACGCAATACCGGGCAATAGAGCGAAATCCTAGAAGTGTAGCTTTTGCATTGGCTAACAAAATCCCTGGAGGATTCTATCAAAATGATACTCGAGTACTTAAAGATTTTTTAAAATCAAAAAGTGTTGAGGACATTTTAAATGCCACCCTTTTATTACCTTCTAGTGTAAGATTGTATAGGTACAGTACATTTATTATTTATTGAATGATTTTTAGATGTCATTTTGGCTGACGATGGAACCTGAGAGTGATGATGCATTTTTAACCGAATCGCCTTATGTGTTGCTTGAGAGTGGAAATTTTAACCAGGTTCCAATTATAATTGGCGTAACAGCTGAAGAATCTGCATATTTTTTAAAGGGTATATAGTTTGAGGCACTACTAAAGCTTCCTATGAGAAGTATTGTTAAATTTTAGATCTGAATGGTACGAAAAGTACTGCTGAAGCTTTAGAAAGCTCGCCATCAAATATTATACCGAGTGATTTATACACAAATTCAACCTCAGAACCAGCTATTTTACAAAAAATTAGAGAAATATATCTTAATGAAGGAGAAACGTTTTCAAGTAATTTAACGGCCTTTGTAAAGGTGCAAGTTTTTTTGATTGACTATTATGTTGTGTAAATTATTTTTCTTTTAGTTTTATTCAGACGATCTTTTTAAAATAGCAGCACAGAAACACGCCGAGCATGCATCAAAGTATGTTCCAGTATATCAATATCAATTTTCCTATTTCGGAAGATTCGGCAGTACAATACCGATCGATGGTAAGAATTTTTTGGTTTGAGGCGACAACATAAATTTATTAATCTAACCAAATTTAGGAATTGAAAAAGCTACACACACATCAGATCTGCCTTTTATATTAAACTTATTTGGTTCAGATGGGGATACGGATGTAACGAATTTGTTGGTACAAGAACAAATCGTTACACTATGGACGAATTTTGCGAAATACTTGTAAGTATTTTTTCAAAGGGTAGGTCTTATCCCCCAAGTCCCCCTCGTCCAAAGAAGGGATGACTCATGAATCTGGGGGAGGTAAGTATTGATAAATCAGGAGAAGAGATCACATTTTAAAACCCTCAAGATTGGCAACCTTCTCCCGAGTATAAGATAAACACAACTTAACGGTTTTCTTATTAAACAAAATTTAAATTATACTTTTTTTTTAGAAATCCTACTCCATTTGAAACGAAATTATTCGACAACATAATATGGTCAACATTTAATAATCCAGATTTTCCATATTTGAGCATAAACTCCTCCTTGGAGGTGCAAACAAATCTTGGAGGTCGTGCCTATTCAAGTTGGTATGATATTTATGGAACTTATGGTAGAAAACTATTTAAGTTAGGAGTAGAATAGATAAATGTCCTAAACCGAATTAAAAAAATAATGAAAACCAAAACTGCTAGTTTAGAATTTGTTTTAGTTCAAATCACAAAACAATTAGGTATTGGAACCAACAAAAGGCTAATTATCAGTCATATTACCAGAATCCTATGCAGTTTCAGTTTTTCAAGCATTGTTACAAGATTGTCCAAGAAATATACCAAACAACAGGGTAAAGTTCAAGTAATTAAGTAATAGACTTACGGCCAGTTCCATAAATATGACGTTAGGTCGGCTTTAAAAAAAGAATACTTTTTGTTAAAGCATATACTTTATGCAGCCCTAAAAGTGCGTAGTGTTCCATAAAACATTTCAAATCGTCTGTTACAAAAAGGAGTAATTATCAGTTTTCCCGATTTGGCAACACTGAAATTAAAGAGCTGAAGTTGGTTTTGACGTGTGTTGACAAAAATTCTAGCCATTTCAAAAATGATTGAAATAAGTTCAGAGAACAAAATGAAAGAAAAAAATGTGCCCCTTTTTCAAACGAGGATTAAATTCGTTTAATGCTAGAGGAATCATTCCATTGTCAACTTTTACAATTGTTGATGGTATAAGAAAATTATCATCTTGGCTAAGAGGAGCTAAAATTTCTGTTCGTGTATATTTGTATTAAAATAACATATTTGAATGGTTTTAGCCGGAATTTCAAAATGTTGAATATCAAAATCTGTTCGAAATTCAAAAGGAATAATTGTTTCATCATTATGAAGACACATTCTTGTAAAATCGATATTTAGATTATTATCTTGAATTGCTTTGATTCCTAAAATTACATCAAAGCCTTTCTTGTTCCCATACAAGTTGTTAATTTATTTTGCGAATTTATTTATAGGTATAATTTGAAAAATATTCTTCCGCTATGGAAGGTCTTATCAAAGATGCATGACTTCCTGTATCTATCGATTGATAGTTTGCAAGGGGGATCTTGAATTCGAATAAAGGGTAATTGATTTATTTGATAAGCATTAAGAGTTAACGCTGATTGGTTTGATCCTAGCCGGGTAGCTAAAAATTTTCATTACCAAGATCTCAGGAGAATCTGACGAAAAATCGTAATTTTCTTCCTGAGAATTAAAAAAGAATTTAAAAATTTTTAGAAGTTTGTTCTGATTCTTGGTTTTGTTCTGGTTCTATTAAGTCTAATTCAAAAATATTATTTATTTCTTCAATCGTATAACGAGGTGGACCTGCAGTTTGAAACTTTTCGCGGCGGATTCTTGAAATTAAACGACACTGTGCACTCTGCAAATCCGTATGCAAATCCGTACGAGTGCGCCAAATTTGTTTCCAAATCAGAGACTTAGATTTTTTAAAAAATCCTGTGCAGTGCACACCCGGTAGAAGTGAAACCTTCATCGAACTACATGCATTACACACATACTAACATACGCAGTGGCGTCCCCCCCAACCCTCCAAAAGACTTGAGAAAGAACGCAAATAAATATAGTTTAAATCAAATCAAATCAAAATATGCTTTTTTCTGCGATTGACAAGAAATGTCAGCATTCTTGACTGGTTTACAGGTCGCAAAACTCAATATTCTGTTATTTCACTGCCTCCTATACTTAACAAGCCATGAAGTTGGAAATGACGGCAACGTCGCGTATGGTGCTATTTTGTTATTGGGTTATGTGTTTCTGTGTATTGCTTTCATTGTGTATTGTTGCAGTTTAGTATTTTTGTGGGCATTATTGACGAAAAAGTGGATAGAAACACACCAATATATTGCCCATATTTACTTGATACCTGTTCCTTTGTGCTTTGATTGCAATTTTTTAGCAAATGGGTACAGGAGCAAAAATGAAGGTAAGGTGAGATAAAACAATAAAAACAATATTAATATTTGTCTGCAAGAGCATATGTCTCGATATATTACCTAAGATATTTAAACTTGTTCCAGATGCCATGAAACTACTGTGTTCCTGGGTGCAAATCGAACTATTAGGAGTTCCTTAAAAACTGAAGAAATGCAAACATTTTCATTTCCAAAAAAATTCTGAATTGCAAAAAATGTGGATGAAAGCAATACACCAAGATAATTATACCCGAGATTATACAATAACGAAAAATTCTGTGGTGTGTTGTAAACATTTTGAAGAAACCGAAATAATTAGATTTGAAACAAACAAGGATAAAGGCGTAGTTCGAGAGTTCAAACTGAAACGTACAACTCTTAAAAGTAGGTACCTCTTATTTTCGAAAATCAGCTCAAGTATTTGAATGGACCTGCCTTCCGAAAAAATCCCGAAGAAAGAAAAAGTTAGATTTTTCAAAAGACAATACTGAAACATAGGCCTATAACACTTTAGACTCTAGAAATATATTCATTTAAATCAATTATTTACTGTTCTTATTTACACAAATAGTTATATTATTCATTGAATTACTGTTTTTGGCCCTTTAGTACAATAAATTATGTATTTTTCGTGATTCATATTATTAAAATAAAAAATATATATTTATAAAAACAAACACCACCAGCACCACTTGGCGGTAAGATTGCGGTGTTGCCTTTTTAACTTCATGGCTTGTTAAATGTAGGAGGCTGTGGTTATTTCAATTATGTTTCAATAGTTGCTAAGAAATCAATTAATAACAATACAGAAAACACTTTTCCGGCGTAGGCCGGGAAAGTGATTCTCGTACTGCTGAATATTTGGAACCAAAAGACAAACATTTAACAGGTATTTAACCGATCGCAGAAAAAATAGTATGTGTATTTCGGTGGAAAAGCACATTCTCGGCCTTCGCTGTTTGCCGGCCTCGGCTACGCCTCGCCCGTCAACTTACACCGTCGGCCGAGAATGTGTCACTTTTCCACCTAAATACACAATATACTATTATTGTAAAAAGAGAAAAATATCTTGTCTACAAAGCAAAAAAATACGATAATAAGAAAAATACAATAACATACAATAAACACAATAATAAAATGTCAAAATTTAAATTTACAAACAACCGTAAGAATAATAACAGTACAATAATAATAGTTATTTATACACCAAGTGAGTTAAATGAATGTTTATTCATGAGAAGAAAGTTTAACCCACGAGCCCTAGCGAGTGGGTTAATTTTCTTCGAATGAATAAACATTTTAACTCACGTGATGTATACAAAATTTTATCCGATTTTGATGGACATTTGAAAAATAAGGTACTTAATAGGAATCAAAATTATAAAAAGAATTCATTTAGCGAGCGCAAATCTTATGTTGAAACTGGTAGTTGCTAGGGTATTACTAGTTGTTTGTTTGTATTTGTAGCAGATTTTTATACTAGCAGAGTGACTTAAAGACCGAGAGTAAGTTAAAAATATTTTAAGTCACTCAGGTGATAAACGTCTACTTACCTTTGTTATTATGCGTTCAATAATGTCATTTTTAAACGTCAAAATGGGATAAAATAATGAATACAATATTAAAATATCAAAAATTAATAGATATTTATGTTATAAGGATCATAATGACGATCATTATGGTACTAGCCGTGAATATATCAGACGAGGCGTCAGCCGAGTCTGATAACAAGGCGTGTGCCATAATGATTGTTTATGATCCGAATTTCATACAATATTTTATATTCCGGCGATTATAGTCAATACATTGTTCTGTTAATTTGAGTTTATCGAAAATAATTGAAGAAGACTAATTTTAGTAATGTGTAGAGGTGACGATATTATCGATAGTTTATCGATAGTATCGATATTTCAAAAAAAAATAGAACAATCGAAAATATCGATAGTGCAAAGTGCAACTATCGATAGTCGCAGGATAATCAAATTCAATGAACTAATCCGAACTTAAATTGAATAGGAAGTATTTATAGAGTTCACTGCTCCAATTTTAAATGTAAAATAGGTTAAGTCAGGGTTTGGGGTGCACAGGATTGACTGCACCACTGCACCGGTGTAATCCACGATTGAAATTAGACACGATACAGACGACAGACTCTCGGAGCGGCGACTTATTAGTTGAGTTTGATAAAAATCGCTCTGTTTCAACCGGCATGCGAACCGTTCCAGAACCAGTAATTTCCAGTTGCCCCTCCTATTTTTCAATAAGTTGAACATTCAACCTACTTGACTACTTGACAAATGAATTGATCGATTGGAAATAACCGTTCTAGAATGGTTCTCATGTCGGTTGGAACCAATGAACTATATTCAAAAACTGGAATGCGTACACATTGACATATCCCCTAGAAAAATGAAGCCATCAAAGACTGATGCAACAAGGGGGAATGTTGTTCTTTCCTGTTGCTCGCCGACATATTACGTTTTGGAAAGTTGTGTTATATTCACCTACACAGGTTTTATCAATTGGAATACGTGTTGAAAGCAATTTCCGCCATTTAACGTAATGAGTGCGACAAAGAAAGGCATCCCGTCCGCAGCAGCGGCATACTAACCGTGCGTTCGTTATTTTGGTCCGAGTTCTCCGAGCTTGACTTTACCGTTCGTTTATTTAAAAAGTGTACTCGGTGCAGCCTCATTCGCGTTCGTTTATTAAAATTTCTGGCACTTTTATACAGCGTTCAACTACTCTGTTCGCTCGCTGGTCACGTGATTACGGCTCCGCTCAGCACGCTCTGCTCTTTGAGCAAAATACCGAACGCAAGGTAAGCTACACGTTTTTGGTTATAGTTCATTGGTTGGAACAGAGCTATAGGTTATTTATTTGAAGTTACCAATTTAAGTTCTTGTTTGTTTTTGGTTTTAGGTATTTTGTAGTCTCAAGGTTATCGATAATTTATCGACAGTTTCGATATTCACCAGCATGATTATCGAAACTATCGATATTATTTTTTTATCACTATCGTCAACTCTCGTAATGTGCTTGACTGCTTGACAACCATAGTAACAATGGAATTTTTGTTTGTATTGTCATATTGTCAAAGTTAAATTCACTGGAAAACAATGTTCGACAATTTCGACACCTACGTCCAAGATCAGTTTATCGAATTGTAAAGATTTTGTAATTAATTTTAATCGTTAAATTTTGTTGTTTCCAATAGATGTTTCATATTTGT